TAGCCTACAGATTCTGTGATTGCTTTGCAACCAGCTAGCATTTTTTAATCATGCCCGTTCTTGTCAACATTGGGGGTTGTTTCTAAACAAGCCAGCTAAAAATGGGAATTAAATTTAATTTCTAGCTCATTTTCTGAGGCTACAGAAACCCTGGAAGCAAGAAACCTGTATTTTCACTGCTTCTCTCTCCAAGACCAGCACTTTCTAACAAATTCACACCCTTGCTCTCCTGCTGGATAAAGAGGAGGCAGCAAAGGCACTGGGTAGTGCATGTGCCTCTAAGGGTGTGGATCCAGTTTTTCCTCTGGCAGAAAAGGTGATTCAGGAGTTTTTTGCCAAATGGCCCTGCCTCTTATTGCTTCCCAGATGCCACCACTTACAGGGCATTTGTGCTGAGGCAGCTGTTTGTTGGGCAGTGCTGAAATCAAATCATTCAAATGATCCAGGATTAAAAATATCTTCCTTCACTTCAAAAAAAGGCAAAAAAAAAAGATGTTGTTCCAGTGACATTCCCATTCTTAGTACAGCCCTTCAAAGGACAGTGAACCATGGAACCAAAGCAGGAAGAGGTGAATGGGGACCCAAGGGGCAGAACCTGCTTTGGGTGGCATTGTTGATCCAGAAAATATTCACATAGGTTGTAACCAACTGCCTCATCCATCAACATTAAAGTAGATTATGAAGCCTTTCAGCCCTTCACCTTTCCTTCTGACTTCCTAAATTTAGGAGTTTGTGATCTCAAAAAATAATACTGCAGTCAAAGTTCTGAATTCCTATCACGGAGTGTTTTAATATCCTGAAATACTTGGCTGGAATCTTTGTTGTATAATTGCTTAAAAGCCAGATGTAGTCCAACCCAGTCACCCAGAGTGTGTGTGGAGTCACTAGAGTGAAACAGGTACCTCCAGAGTGCAATCCATGTCTTTGAACATGGGACAAATCACACTCTGGTTGTGCCTTTCTCTGATCACTCCCATTAGAGGGGATGAACAGAGTTTGCTTGAGTGGATATCTTGTTTCTGGATGACTAAAGTTTGTCAATACAGATCCCAGCCTTTGTACCTAAAGGCTGCAGAGGTTAGTGCTGGTAAAGCAGAAATCAATGTGTAGACTTCACACATTTCAAATACAGACTTCACTGTATTTCAAATATATAAAAGGCCTAAACTACATATTTTCTCCTAGCATAAACTAGATAACTGCTGGGACCTAATAAATGAAAATGTTATGACAAACCATCCCACCGACCTCTTTCCTCATCTCCACACCCTTTTTTACAAGAACCTAATACAGATTTACGTAGAGTCCTGCTTAAGGAAGCAAATACTGAAAGATGCTGAATATTTGCAACTTTGAAACGACTCATCAGGCTCAACTCTGAGATCCTTATGCTGTTTATTCATGCAAATTCTAGCGTGCCAGATGCTGAGGAGTGCTGAATGGCTGCTCAGTGGGAGTTGTGGTTGCTCAGCACCTCCATAGAACTGGCATGTAAACTCCAGCCTGGACTTTGCTTATGGGAAAAACAAAACCAACCATCAGTCATGCATGGTATACTTCTCTCCCCACTTCATGAGCTGGCCTGGTGAAAATTCCTGGTGCTTATTGAAAGCACTATCTGATGTCACTCGACACCACAAGGGAAAACATAAATCAAAGTGTAAGTATTCAGCACTCTCTCAGCATTGGCCTAATGTGATGAATGTAAACTGAGGTAAACCCTTTAGTTATTCCTTATTACTTTTAGGGGCCCAAAGGGTTGGGACTTGTTATTCTAGTAATGTGAAAAACAAGTCCTACCCAGGAGATCGCCAAGGCAAAGATAAAGCTCAGGTAGAAGCTTGACAAGTTACCTAATAGCAATGGACAGACACAATGAAGTGTTGAATCTGGACTGTCTTAAAGGCATGTGGCCAGGGTTGTGCCATGTTCAGCACTGAGCTTTCCTCTGGGAGCAGAGTAGGGTTGCAGTAACAGGGAGAGCAAGATAATCCAGCATGAGATTACAGGGATTTACAGAGCGGTCAGATGCCTCAGTCCCAATGACCTGCTTCTGCACTGTCTTTCACAATCACAACCTGGTTCAAACCAGGTCTTTTTCTGTAAAATCTACAGCTGAAAGCTTTGTTCTTGGACAGTTCTAGCACACTGTATAACTCTGAGTTGTGTCACCTCTGTTGGAAGGGAAGAATGGACTTAATAATATGGACAAAGTTCCTCCTGGCACCTTTTGATGTTTTCTTGTTTTACAAGAAGAGAGCAGAGCTCAGTCACTGTGTGATTCAGAGACAAACACTGAAGTGTCACAGGTGTGAAAACACAAGCCTAAAAGCCAAGTAATGTCCCTACTGTCAGTTTTGTGCTTGCTTCACTCCTAGCTGGGCGGGATGGAAAATGATTGGTTTTGGAAAGGCACATGGAGGTATTGCAGACTAGCAGCCTGCTGAGCGCAGCAAGGTGCAGGGAGCAAATGCTTCACCCAGCCAAACCCAGTGGGAATGTGTTGGAGTTCTAACATTGTTTTGCTGACACAGGAAGATGTCATCGCAGCAAAATATGAAGGAGTTAACACATTATGAAATACAGTTTTGGCAGTGATGCAGACAAAGATTGTTTTGCTTGAAATGCAGTAGGAGCAGTGCTGGTTAACAGGGTTATGCAGTCAGCTTACCAGTCTAAGTCATTGCATTGTGCTTTATTTCTTCTTATATATTGGGTCCAAATCCTATGAAACACTGAACATAACTTTAAACTCATAGATAGTTCTTTGCTTCAAAGTTAGTCTTGATTTACTGTAAATTTGTGGATAGTGGCTGGTTGGAATAGCAAGTGAAAGTGCTAAAGGAAGCCTTCCTTTATGGCAAGGTACCAGTGTGGATTAAAATTAAAAAAAAAAAAGCAAGCAGGAATTGTGTTTTAAACCTTTTGGCAGTCCTATTCTTTTACAGGTGAGAAGTGAGGAACCATATCTGCTTACACACACTCCTGAGGGCTTGGTGCACAAAATTGTACAGCCAGATTCAAAATTACTCTTAGCTAGTCCAGGCACTCTGACTGCCCTTCCAAAAACAAAGGCAAAGTTTTCAGCATCACAAAAGACTAATAAACCACCTACGCTCCTGCATCTACCAAGATGAAGAGAGCTCCAATGCCTTATAATTCAGAGCCATGTATTTACTGTAGTCAGGTTGAAAGATTTGCAATCAACACTTTCCAGGGCTGAGAGGCAGATCTTCTATAATCCTGCTCCTTAGTTACCTGCCTTCAGCTGAAGATCTGGCCTCCTGGGCCCAATTCTTTGCCATCTTTTGCATGAGCCTGGGAGACAGCCCTTCTCAGCAGCATTGCTGGAAATGGGCTTTTGCATTCAAGTAGAGAGTTGTTTCTCCCATGTTTTCACCATGCTTGTGGTCTCCATAAAACACATCATAAAGTTAGCAAGCAAAAGCTATTTTCATCTGCGAGATGCCTGTTTGGGTTTTACAGTAAGTCGCCATGAGTGCCTTGCTTTGAAAATATGAATCTAAGTCAAAGATTGGTCCACATTTCAAATAGTAAAGCAGTTTCTCAGATAATATTTCATTGAAATTAATAGGGCTGTTTCAATTTAGAGCAATCAAGGATATTAATAAAAATGGCACTGTGAACTGTAATTAGATATAAATAAAGAAACAGGGATCTATTTATTTTCATACCTTCATGCTGTCTTGTTTGTTGATGACACTGAAATAGGTAGTAACTGGAATGAAGCCCAACAGCTAATTTATGCTTAACACACCACTAGTTCTTACTTACTCTATTGTAGTATACTTTAACAGTAAGTACTTACAAAAATGCTTAATAAAATCATCCATCCCATGCTTCAGTTCCTCAAAAGCATCCCTGCTTCAATGTTTCTTGCTGGATGTATCTATTAGCAACACTGCTTAGGTAACTTTCTGGATTAGGACAATTCTATAAATGACTGAGATGCTGGAATTCAGAGGACGCTACTTTGTCATTTGCCCTCTATTGAGTAGTATGTTGACATCAAATAGTTCACCTGAGATCATGCTGAGGTTTCCAAAGTAAGCTAAAAAAGAAGAAGTAAGCTGCACAAAGAAGTCTGGCAGCGTGGCTGGTTTAATTTTAGGAATGCACAATAACGTATGTGTGCGTCTAGGAATACAAGGGGAAAAAATCCTGTATATTGCAAGTTAAGTTGTGGTTTTAATGATGAAGACACAAGGAGCTAGCAAATCACACATTTTTATTTATCTTTGATAGGATTTCTGATCCTATCACAAAGCAGTCTTCATTCTTTGCCAAAGGGATCTGGAACTAGTAAAATATTTCTGCCTATTACACTGGTCTGTTAAATATTCAACTAATTTTAGAAACTCCTTTTATTAGCAGCTACAGTATACATGTCCAGATTCCTTCTTCTACTGTAAGTGTAGGATACCTATGCAAAAAAAGAGGGATATAAACTGAAGTTTATATCTCTGTATTATTTATTTCCTGTTTCTCATCTGAGTCGAAGTGAAATAAATATTAGAAGATTTTAAGGGAAAAAAAAAAAAAAGAAAACACTTCCAAGGCAGATTTCATAACAGCAGAACAAGTATCATTTTGAGTGGCAATGCACTGGCAATAACATTTGGCTCTGGTTCACATCAATCTGGAGGCCCAGCTACACAAGCCAAGCTGGCTCAGAATCACTTCTGAACAGGCATTTATCACCTTCAGTGCAATAATATTCCAGAGGTCCAAATCAGGACTAAGCCCTTTGCACATATGAAACACGCTCACCCAACATAATCCTTCCTCAGACACTGTCATGGCAAAAGTGCCTCTGACTTCTTTGGTGTTAGAAGTCTTGTCTTAACTTCCCAAATTTCCATGCTCCTTGCCTTTTCCCTTCTGTCCCACTTCATTCTGTTTCCCTGCATGTTGTGAAGTCTTATGGATTTTAATTCATATTTTCCTCTTCCATTGATCAGCCTTTCCTTCCTTTGCAGACTGGTTCTGAGCCATACCCTCAAGGACGAGTGGAGGAAGCTCCCGTGAGCAGTGAGAGGGGTGACGAGCCGGCTCGTCATGTCTTCTCCTTCTCGTGGCTGAACTCCCTGAATGAGTGATGACTCACTCTGGCTGGCTTCTGGTGTGCTTCTCCTCAGAAGGACCGTGAGCGCAGGCAGCCTGGCTGCAGTCAGCAAAGAAACCAGCCTGGGAAGGGGCATCCGAGCAGGTTTCATTCCTGGGAACTCAGCTGACCTCCACACCATACCCTTGAACTGACAGACCTGAGAGGGAGGGGAGCATGGGGACAGATTATTCTATGTATTGTAGTCAGAGTGTTTTCCAATATTTTCTCACTTCCAAGGGGGAAGAAGCATCACTACAGCTTTAGGCTGAGCACTGCTAGTGTTTTGTAACTCACTTGTTGGCACGTCCCCATGTAGGTGTAAACACTTCACCAATGTTCTTAGCTAAAACGCTGGTATGATATTCTCTAGTAGCATCCTTTGCCAAAACAGAGTTTCTCCTCAGTATCCTCCTGCGTCCCCACTTGTCAGTGCTGGTGACTTCAGTGACACTATCATGTCCTTGGCAGCCCCAAGTCAGAGTTGTGTCTAACAGCACTGGTGCCTCCCAGGCTGCGGAGGCTGAACACGGGAGGGAAGGAGGAAGCTGCCATTTCTTCCTTTGCACTTGCTCTTCCTACTAAACCACAACAGATGACGCTTGCAGAAACACAATTGTAAGGAAGATTCCCAATGGCAGGAGTGAGGAAGAGACACTTACCAAAAGCACTGGCCAGGACCTCCACACATCTCTGAGTATGTGGGGCAGTTGCTGAAGTGCTGCCCAGTCTGTCCAGCTGTAACCTGTGTCTATGTCCTCTCAGCCATTGGTGTGTACAAAAGGGGACATGTTCTTATATGGAACCAGGGTGCAATAAGGTGGCCACAGGTACTCACTCAAGGTTTAATTTGAAGCCCCTGTGCTGTGCTGTAGAAAAGGTAGGTGCTGACTGTCCTGTTCCATGTGCATTGCAGATGTTGAGCCATCAAATGAAATCGAATTTGTGTCTTAAAAGAGGCTCTACAAGCTGTACTGAAGGCAACACTGTGGTTTTTCTCACTGAGAGTAGGGTGTCAACACTCAGTGGTGTTTAAGAGATTGGCAGCTGCTGGGAGTGCTTGGTGCCATAGGGGACCAGGTGTCAAGCTCTGCACTAGGGTTACATGTGGATCTTTCCCAAATCCCCAAATCCCAAATCCCTCGGTGCCCTGTTTTGGCAGGGGCCTGTGTGGGGCTGTAAGGCTGCGCTGTGCCCCAGCAGGGCTGGTGAGCTGGCAGTGCAGACTGGTCAGCAGGCTGTGTGGGGTCAGCCCCTGTCCCGGACACCCGTTGCTACCGACCCTCGCTGGTTTCTGTTTTCCATGGAGAACGTTCCCTGGAAAACTCTCCTGCGAGAGTTTCGGAGGCTGCACAGGCGAGCTCCGCAAAGCTTTGGAGCTCGCACAGCCCGAGCGAGCGCCGCCCAGCCCCGCCACCGCATCGCCTCCGGCTGCTGGAGCAGCTTTTCCCTGGGATTTGGTTCGGGGTGAGGGGTTTACTATTTTCTCCCAGTCGTCCTGGAGATTTCCCCCAGCTCCTCCCGAGAAGTTTCTCCACACCCACTGCAGCTTCCCTAGAAGTCCCTGGGAGGGACTCCGCTCGGGCACGGCCGTCGGGACGGGGGAAGCCGGAGCAGGGAGGAACCTGCCCTTTTGGGGTGCGGGGAAAACGCAAAAGAGATGCGGGAG